AATGTGCAGTTAATATCTGCAACATCGTTGTTATTATATAGATTCTAATGTGGGTGTGTTAGTAAGTAAGCAAAAGCATAAATACGTGGCCGAGCGCCTAAAAGTGGGCCACGGCTTTCAGCAAACCAAGCGACACTGCGAGAGATGAATTTAAAATAAATATATTATGTAATAAAAATTCGCAGCGACACCGAATCGGAAGCAGACTTTTACACGCAAATGAACCCACAAGCAAAGGCAAGCAAAAATTTTAAGTAAACAAAAGGTGCATTTAGTTGCTTTGTGAACATTTAAGTGAGTCTGCGAGTATGCTTGTACTTTTGGTGATTCTTCAAAGCCGAAAAAGGTTGTGTGGAAAACTTTTTCCTGTGGCCTGAAGTGATGTGATTTTTCGCAGCCATCCACTCTTGTGCTTCTTTGATTGTTATTTGGATGTTTGTGTGTGTGAACTTAGCCGTGATTGATCAAACTGACTTGATTTGAATTGTGTTACTGCAGGCATGGGGACCCATTAATACACTTAACAAGCGAGAAGTTCATATGTAATACGAACACTTTTAGAGACAGGGTGATTCATACAGTTGTTAGTTCCAAAAGAATAATTCACTTTTCCTTGCGCAAGCATTCCCATTATTCCCCAACTATAACTTAAATCAATCCAGAGAGCAAATTCAAGTTAAACGATCCATTGGATCAGTTTCATAAGACCGGAACTGAAATGTTCTGTAGGTGTGTTCACATCACCAAATTAGCTGCTAAAACTATTAGCTAACTTAGCTAGCATATGATAGATTCCGACTTAGCCTACTTGACATGGAATGCCATTTTGTTCACACCAAACAAGTCCATGTTTTCAATTTGCGATCACTGTCGAGAAGATTGTTGGTGAACATCGAGTTTGTAGCAGCAAAATGTCACTCAGCACGAACTACCATCTTCACTATTTTCTAAGGATGTTCCTTTAGAAAGATGATTTTATGAAGAGTCTAAGTCCCAAGACTGACTTTTAAATTTTGCACAAACTTCTACAGTATCATATTTTATTGTATGGGATTCAAAGCCTCGAATTTGGGAATTGCATTGTGTATTGTACTTGTACTATATAAATAAATTACCACCCTTTTCCACAATCGGTTCGACGTTGAGTGGTAAAAACAAATGTTAAATATATTGTAGGTATGTAGATATAAACGCTCAACTAGAGTTGCCCATACAAACGCAAATAACCGCAGGCTGTATACATTTTCGAGCATATTTATCCACATATTTACTCAGTCAATATGTACTATGACGCCGTTCATACAATTAGAATTATTTGTTAGTGATCGCTGAGGAATATTTTACTTTCAAATGACATGCCTCCGCATATTGAGAATACAAATAACATTTGTATGTTTAGGAATTCCATTTCATCTTCCTTTAAGTTATGATATGGTTTTTGAAGAAGACTTTTAAGTTTTTGCTATTGTTTTAATAACAACATAGTTAGACTTCCAGTTAACTAAACGGGTTTCAATATTTTCGTTTGCTAATAGATGAGTGACTAAGATTTCTATAGGTTCCCCCACGAGCAATTCAATAGATGGCTCTGTTCGTATGGCTCAAGGTAGGTGGGACGTGAATTGCTGATGTTATGGTTTCTGGCGCTGAAACTTTTCAAATAATTTTACACGATTCCAACAATTGAATCACGGATTTGAAATTTTTAAAGTGTACCTTAAGACGGAAAAAATAGATTTTCTTTTTAATTAATTATTAAATTGATGCTTTTCAAAAATAAAATTAAAATTGGATTTTATATTAAAGAACTTTCATCAATTATCCTATAGTTTTGCTGATCTTTAACCATCTTGTAAACATGCAGGTTTATTGCATTTGAGAAGAAATGTCTTCATTAGCATAATATTAGTATTTCTGCGCGTAAAATGTACGTACACACTTTATGACAGAAAAACACCGTTGTTTTAAAACGCGGTCTACACGCTTTCCGTTACACTTCATTGTGTATGCACCCGAAACCAAATGCCATTAACTCAACTTCGCTCCTAGACGATAGGGAGGCATCAAGACCTCATTGTCCACATCCTTGCATCTTGCTGAGCTTATCCATCAATGTATAAACAAGTATGTATGTATATGTGCGTACATACATATGTAAATATCTGTATTAAAGGTCAATATATTTTTTATGTTAACACATTATTGGCCCAAGGCAAGGCATAAATATTCTATTAGACTCCAACGCAAATAATGAGTATACCAATCAACCTCTGGTGTGAGGGAGGAATACTTTTTAATATTTATTCACGTACACATATCTACAAATGATTATATAGGAAGGAAAATATACTCATATTTAAGCGCTTGTCTAAAATTTTCTTTTAACAGATGGTTTTGACAAAACTTTTGTAAAAACATGAATGAATTAACGGTTATAATTAATAGTACTAGTAAATTACATACATGATATCTAGAGTATAACATTTACGCAAATATTTTTAATTTCAAAACATTCAATGTTCCAAACATGACGATAAAGACTAAACCTTATGGCAAAAAAAAAATTATATTTTATTTGAAAAGGATTAGGTAATCAGAGAGTGATTAAAAATGCTACTCCACCTCCACGTGTGTCGAAGAGCTGCAGAAGTTCGACATTAGTAAAACTCTATAAATTATCTTAACTATATCTCACACTAAGTTCTGAACTAACTAGATAAACTCTTCGGCGTGAAGCACAGAGAACGTGCAGAGCATACCAAGAAGAAAAGGTATCAAAAGTATCATTATTTATAGGAGATTATTCAATTATTCATAAAATTCATACGGTTTTCTGCGCATTCGACTAAAATGGTGTCAATCAGCCCTTAGAACAGTTTTAGAAGATTTCTGTCACTTGCTTATGAATTCGTTAAGAATATGAATATGAATCCTAAGGGATCGAATCCTCTTTTACTAGGTCTGAAAAAGTTTCGGTGCATTCACATCGATAAATCAGCTGCAAAAACTATTACCTTGACACCCATACGACCGATTTTGACTTAGGCTATGTGACATGGGGAGCCATCTTCTTCACACTAAGCAAATTCATGTTCCCAATTTCCAATCACTGTCGAGGACGCTATTGGTCAAAATGAAGTTTCTAGACCCACAGAGAAAGAACTGGTTTCCTGACGACTCCCTATGTGGTAAGAAAGATTAGTTCCGTATAAAGGATTATTTAGAACAAGAATAAATCATCCTTTAACTAAGTTGTAAGTCTATGTTATTTTCGTGATGTGTGAGAACTTGAGTTACTGAGCTCGCTGGACTGATAACCAACTTTCCGAACTTTTCGAACTTTTTGTAAACCGATTTTGAGCGATTTAAGGACTCTAGTATTGTTTCCAAAATAAGTATATACCGAGACTTCTTTAACTAACTTCAGCGAGTGTTGCTTTAATCAAAGTTTTCAAACAATTTCAGCAAGTATAGCGACAATCCTCAGTAAATAATGTCAATGTTTCCAAGGAATTTCTGATAGAAAAATACTTCTCACTAAATTTGAACACTATTCCGAGTCCTAATGCATTTTTAACTCTCTTTTTGATAATACCAGCTATAAAATAAAAAAACACGAACTCGACGGGAAAGTGCCCACTTACAAGATTGCAGCAACTTATCTCCAAAAATATTCATGAAATATATATATATATATATACATGTATAGTATATATAGACTTTACTTAGCTTCGGAAACTTAACTTTATCCCCCGTTGTGTAACAGTTGCGACTTATCCGGACTAATTATAAGCTGGGTAATACCTGCCGGCAACACCTCATTAGATGAGTAATTTGCTCACTAAAGTGGAAAGTTCAAGAAACGATAATTTCAGTAAGTTTATAATGTTAATGAATATTTAAATTGTTTTTAATCAATTGGCTTGTCATTAACCATTCGTTGAATTTCGTCAGAAGTACGACGATTTTACAACCAATTCACACATTATTTATCGAAATTGAATTTCATTATGAAGACCGTTTGAAACGATAGTATTCAAAATGGTAAAAAAGTGAAACAATTTTATCACTAATAAAGTCAAATAAATATCGGGACTTTTACTAGAAAAGAAAGGAGCCACTGAATTGAAGAGTGTATCGAGAGTTGTGTATCCATAGAATATTCTCCTTAATACCTTTGATGTATGTACCAATTGAAGCAATATGTTCCTACACTTTAACTTGATACGTAACAACCTTGCACGCATTTGATCAGTTTTCAAGATTAGTTTTATTTTCAGTTAAGTATTATTTTCCAAGCATTGAGTTTTCTTAATTTCAAAGAAGAGTTCTACTGATTTGTTTTGCGTATAGGTTCAAATCAGATTAACTCAAGTTAAATAAATATTGAATCTCTTAGTGGTTTTTTTACCGACTCATAACTCCTCTTTCACTCTATTTCGATACACTACGCGTACACTGTAGTGTAGCTTTTAGTGTTCACTAGTACTATTTATAAATCAGCTTCGTTTTTTCAATAATAGTTGGCAGAATGCTTTTAATAAGTGTCATTAAATGATCAACGTTAGCTTACAGGTTGTAGGCCCCTCCATTTGTCAAATGATGACAAGTCGCTCCCTTAAATAGAGGAACAAACCGACCAAGCAGTTAGCAGAGACGGTATACAAGTTTATATCCAGTATGAATTAATAGATTTAATCCAATAAAATATGTAATATACCGTGACTTGTCATAGTTTCGGGATTAAGTTAAATCTTTAGGTATTATAACGATACCAAACTAGTTATTATTTTTGCATCTTGTTTCTATGGATTAAATTAGAAACGGTATTGAGCAATCATACGGTTTTTTTACTCCGGCACTACAGAATTCTAATAGATTTCATCATTGACAAGTAGATATTGGAAATATTTCTTTCTAGTATTTGGTTAAAAATACTGACCTAATTATAAAATAAAGTTTACATTCAATTTATATATGGTATATATTTTTATTTACAGCTTTCTCCACTCTTCCCATCAAAATTTGGATCAAGATCCATTTGTGTTACGCAAAACTTTAAATGGCCGTGCAAAAACTGAAATGTCTCACTGGGCGTTGTTGTAAGTTGTTGCTTTTGTTTCTAGTTTGCAACGCCATTGCAGCAACAAATGGTACCGGAAGCGAGGCGTCGATGCATGAGAGTCATAATTACCCGACGGTAAGATTACACAACAAACAAAATACGAAAGTCAAGAGGCTTTGCCCAAAATTTAACATAAAACAAAATTCCCAACGAAAATTGAGTAAATTTGGTATTTGGCTAAAATTAGTATTTCGAAATGAAGAGGAATCCTATTGAGACGCTATTCTTGCTAATATGTGTATACAATGTATTTTCTCTGGATATATATACATATATACCATATTTGGCTTTGTTGATATCTAAATGGCACTCTCTTATTTGACATATGCCTCAAAATTTCAAAAATCATTTCTACCCTTTCTTTGTATGTGGCTCATTTACTCAACCATTAAAAGACCATAAACGAGCGGTCGAGACGTGATGTTTCAGCGTCGGTCGACAGCACTACCACGCTCCAACCGTTGACCTACAACAATGGTAACCTCAATGCGGCTGATAATAAGGACAAACATAATTTGCCATTTAATTTTGTTGGGTAAGTAAGAAAAACAATAACGGAAATACTTGAGTTGCAAGTAAATGCGCGGTGACACTGTGATGGAAGTTGGAGAATTACAAATTTGTTTACTTAATTCAGTTGAAATTGTTTGGAAAACTAATAAATAATATGACTGCGAATGAAATATGTATATAATTAAGCAGCAATAGCGCTTGGTTATATTATGAAATTTATACTCTATATTTTACATACCAAGATGTGCCACAAAATCTTTTTAAAGGCTAAATGCGGACGAAACCACACATTGAATATTTTACGATGTATGTACAGAATTGATAAGTCAGCTACTTCGGTGCATGAAATCCGATTTTAATTATACGGATATTATACTAAAGGTGAAATACTCGTAGAATGTTAAAGAGGTCATAATATATCTCTAATACTGACTGAATATAGTAAACACTGTAATCTATCAACATGTGGAGAGTACTTACATTAATTATTAAGCGTAAAATTTGCTTGAAATTAGGAATGTAATTTGTAAGAGATATGAAATGGCTGGTGGAATTAGGCGGAACCACACGCCATTGCTGAATTTTCATTCGTTAGGAAATTATAGCAAGTGTATATAATTTCACCAAAGGTCGGGGATTGGGAAATATAAGTGGTTTTTATCTAATTTCATCCTAATAACATGACAATTTCCTAATAGATATTACGTCTAGAATAAAATTTCCAGTTTGAACATATTATTCAGTATATATTCAGTGAGAGGCAATGAGTCAGTTAGGCTTATTTATAGAAATAACAACACCAATTTTCTAGTAGGAATTGACAGTCATAAACACCTCGGCAGACTAGGCTAAAATTTGGATTACGAATAAATATCACTCAATAATAATTTAGAATTTCTCTTTTAATATTCTCTAACTAACTACAGCAATCCACTGCGTACCTTAAACATTGTGAAGCGCACGCCAAGCGGCTTTATTGGGATGCGCGGGAAAAAGGAATACGAATACACCGATTACAGTAATGCCAACAATCTGGCATTGGATGATGATCGTACAGCCAATTGGGACATAGATCCCATGCAACGAGTTGCCTACGAAAATGAGCTAAATGACGTCTACGGTCACTTGTTAGCTTTGGAATCACGGTTCAAGAAAGCACCCAGTACATTCTATGGCGTTCGAGGTAAAAAGTACAGTGACAACGATGTAAATCGTGTTAATTCGTTAATACGGCGTTTAGAAGAGGACCGTTTGCGTGAWGAGTTGACGCAGAATTTCCTCAGAGAATTAGTAAATCGGCAAACAACACCACAGAATGATGTCACAAAGCGTGCACCAACTGGTTTCACAGGAATGCGCGGTAAGCGACCATCGATGATGGACTATTTGTATTACGACGAAGATGGCATGTTGACAGCGCCTTTCGTGGAGGAGAAGCGCGGTCCAGTCAATGCATTTATGGGTGTACGTGGCAAGAAGGATGCGGATCATCAGACGTTCAAGAGATCTCCATTAGAGGTAAGCTAAGAAATATGCGCTTTTTATAATAGTTTATATTTTTAAGTCACAAAGTTTTGAATACGTGAGCTATATCCTAGAAATCTCAAACGAAATATTAAACATTATTCATTGTGTAATTTGAAAACTGTGTTTTTAAGGAGTTGAAATTTAAAGTTATTTTTCAATAGAAACTCTAGTATTTCCTACATTAAGTAGACTTGATCGTAGCACCGACTAAACTAATTGATAACTGATCCCGATAGATATATCAATCATTTCTTTCTACATAGATCTTTCCTTTCTTACAACACTGTCGTAGATTCTCTTCTTGCCTGTTGTTATCAGGAGTTGTCTTGCCAACTCAAAAATTATCTTTTAGACATTTAAGAAAACCTCAACAGTCCTTGGATCAGAATTGATTTATTCTCTGAGTCTAAGTTAACTATTTTTCTTTTAAATTTTCTTATAATAAAAAAAAAGTGGGTTGGTTATTTCAATTTTATTTCTCCGAAAATTCTATATTTACTGCAAATAATTAATTGAATAACTGCAGTTTTCTTATTTGGACATTTTCAATATTTTCTCTCAGTCTGGCAACCGGCGCAGCAAGTCTCAACGTTTTGTTGATTTCAACAACAAATTCGTGGCGGTGCGAGGCAAGAAGGGCGATGACAATATGCCGCTACTGGCGCTGCACAGCATGCGCGGCAAACGAGCTGTAGCCAAGCCAGCGGAAACGGAACACCCGACATACAAATTAGGTATGTACGAACACTTGCAACACATGCTATTGCAGGCAAAAGTAGTTACAGTGAGCCATTGTGAAGGACACTTCGCGTCGAAGTAAATAAAGAGAAAAAATGTCTTCCGGATTTATGCATATAATGAGCAAATACTACACTCTTTCACCAACAATAACGACAACGTCAACGCTAGAAAGCTTAAAATAGTATACAGAGCTGTATTTGTAAGTCCTGCTGCAGATGTGTTTAGAAATGGGTAGACACTCTTTGGCGGCAATAAAAAAACAAAGACGTTTAACTAAGTACAGGTATTTAGGAATCCGCGCAAAGATGCCATGCGTTAGATGGCATGAAAACTGAATAAGAGTGGCAGTACTGAAGTGTGCTCACTTCAGCCTCTTCTGAATGTGCGAGCCAGTCGTTGTTTCAAGTGGCGCTTAACCTTTTTCATGGATTCGTTAGAGTGTCGCACTCGGTCGATTGTCACTAGCGACTTATTTTCTTGAACTGTAATGTTTGAATTATTGTCGCCAACTAGCCAGAAAGAATTTAAAAATATTTTTATAACTAAGATCAACTGTGTTTACAAGAGTATTATAGATTTTTCTGGTTCACAGTTGTGTGCGAAAATGTATTTTGTTGAATAATCCTTTGAAAAAATTACAAACAATATTCTCTAAAAAATTTAGTTCGAAAAACCATGGACACGACACATGACCGCATCTAGGCAGCTGTTGCTCACTTAAATCAAGTTCGAATAGGAATAATGGGCGGGTAAAACAACACCATCATATCCAGGATGCTATCTCTGAGAAATATGCAGTCCAATCGCTTTAGTTGAGATCAGTTGAGAATCTTTTAAAAATTATTCGTGAAATTCAATGGTGTTATTCGCGATACGAAAATTCTTCTTTGCCGATCTTTCACGAATAAAAATATGGAGCATATCTACGAAAATCTAATAACCAATAACCCAATTTCACGACCCTACTGAAGGAATAAGAGGATGAAGAGGATTCAGGCGTGAAATCCAACGCAGAATAACTCTCTCTATCAGGTACTACTTCAGACCTGTAAAGTCCTCTCTCGACGAGCAAATATCAAATTTTACAATTCGCTTATCCTCCTCGGCTGTACGAGATATACGACGGCAATGACATGGATGACTCCAGCTCTGAAAGTTTTCGACGCAGTACCCGACGAGGAGACTTTTACTCCGTTGGAAAGACAAGGTGAAGAAGGACCTGCCTACACTCGGAATCTCCGATTGGCGAAAAACAGCGAAAAGAAAGAACGAATGGCGCGATGTCGTAAACTCGCAACTGCAAGATAAGAATAAAATTTTGCCCCAGGTTAACAGGGTCAATGTATAAAGGGGTAACATCATTTGCTTTTTTATATAAAGGATTAAAACATCGAACGAAGTTAATAAATCATTGTTAAGATGTTCCAAAAATCAGTGACTGATTTCTGTAAGGCTACTAAGGCCAACCTTATCTTCGAAATAGTTTCCCAACATAGGAATGGTCTTCAAACTATTTCCTTCCGAGAATCTTAATTAATGTCAAATCTTTAGCAATTATTCTAATAACATAGACTCAAAGGTGTAGAATTGATCTAAACATTAAGTCAATGACTCCAAAATATCGAGGCTTACATCCCTAATATACTTACGGTAACTTTTCCACATGTTTGTCCAAGGTTCTCATTATTCTGATACAATGGATTTAGTAAGTGTAAATTTCTGTACAAGAGACGGGGTTAACAGTATTTGTGTTAGATTCTCTAATACAGGGTCCGGCACTCAAATTGTAACCAACTTCAGAACGTTTTCTCAGCTGTTTATAAATTTGCTGAATGTCAGTTCGGAGTATTGTTCACAAGTGAACAAAAGCGTTTTGCTTTTGGGATCAGCAATGGAATTCAAAAGAAATAGTGTGATTGCTTTATGTTTAGCTGGCCAGCAATTGTTCGTGAAGTAAAGTTTTTGTTTATTGCACCATCACTCATTACAATGATACTGGTCATCCCATGATTTCACACCAAAGCAGCAAAAAATAAGACTTGAGAAAGCGAAACAGTTGCTTCGCTTGGCCGAAAGCGGTCAAATTCCGAACATTCTGACCAAAAAATTTTTCCAAATGAGCAATTCGTAAACTCTCAAATCGATAAGGTTTACTTGATCGACCGTTCATACGCGAATCTACGTCATCTGTTGGCCACCAAGAGGCAGCACCCGCCACAAATAATGGTTTGGGCCGCTGTCACCGCAGATCGGACCTCTCCAATTGTTTTCATCGAGCCTGGTAAATGCGACATATTATCGGGAAGGTGTTCTGGAGGCTGCTTTGAAGCCGTGGGCAAACAAACATTTCGATAGCCAACCATGGACGTTTCAACAAGACTCAGCACCGTCTCACAAAGCGCTAGTGAACCAAGAATGGCTGAAAAACAACGTTCCGAACTTCATTACGACCACACAATGGCTCTCGAATTCACCAGATGCGACTCCAATGAATTATACAAAAAATACACCAGTCCCAAGGTGCTGAAAAAAGCCGTTGTCCGTGAGTGGGCCAAAATACCGGCAAGTCACATTCGGGCAGCTTGCGATTCGATTTTTAACCGTCTCAAGGCCATAGTTAAGGCAAAAGGTGGTCATATAGAGCAAAAGTGAATTGGTCCTGAATTTATGATTATTTTCACACATTTTGTTCTTTAAAATAAATACAAATAATTTTCAAAGCCGTATTTACGGCTTTTTTAATCGGTTACACTTCGAGTGTCGGACCCTGTATGAGCAAAGTGATGATTCGAACAAACTTCTCTTCTTCTTGATTGGCGTAGTCACCGCTTACGCGATTATAGCCGAGTTAACAACAGCGCGCCAGTCGTTTCTTCTTTTCGCTACGACGCGTCAATTAGATATTCCAAGTGAAGCCAGGTCCTTCTCCACTTGGTCCTTCCAACGGAGTGGAGGTCTTCCTCTTCCTCTGCTTCCCCCGGCGGGTACTGTGTCGAATACTTTCAGAGCTCATCCGGACAACATGACTTAGCCCTGTCTCTTATACACATCTAGATGTGTATAAGAGACAGCGGGTACTGCGTCGAATACTTTCAGAGCTGGAGCGTTTTCCTCCATCCGGACAACATGACCTAGCCAGCGCAGCCGCTGTCTTTTCGAACAAACAGCTGATTTAAATAGAGCTAGACATGGCACAGTAAAATACAGTAGTCACCGTAAAGAGGTTATGTACCCTATTGTGCAATAGTCAACTGGAAAACTTTCTGAGCTATTGTTCCAAAATTTCGCACGCATATTTTTCTTCCTTAGAAACGCTTATTTATCGGACCACTTTAGCACATAGCTGCCATACAAACTAGCCGATCAAAATCAAATTATAGATGTAAACTTATTTATGTGAAGGGTATTATAGCTTCGGTGCAACCAAAGTTTCTCGTTTTTCTTGATTTTTACTCTGCTAATGTTCCGATTGATTTATTTAAACAGTTTCTTTACCTCTTTTTAGCAGTCGATGACCTACACGCGCTCAAGAACTAAACTCGTATCACCTGGTTTTGGGACATACATCATACAGCGAGCTACATACTAACGGAAAGCACGATATAAAAAAATTAAATAAAAGTTCCTCTCGTCGTCAACATTTAAATTTGCAAACAACTCAAAAATACATACATACAAAAACACTATTTACTAACACATATAAGAGGCTAAATTTTCAACTGCGAGTACCTTGCATACACACTAACATTTGATTCTCAAGTTCAATGGGGTTATTCACTGTGTGGCTCTTGGTGCGATTGTAGATTATTTACAAAAACAAAATAAATATTATTATAAGAAATATTGCTTTGTGTTTCTGACTGAAACGCCCTTATTTATTGTTTGTTAACACGTATTTTCTTCTTCAATTATTAGCCTTTTAAGGGGAATGGCTTGAACAATCATGGGCTGGAATTGTTCAAGCGCAAAAACCTCAAGCGCGCTATGATTGAAGCTTTTATATTGCTTTTCCCCACAAATAAATGCTTTGTCTCCAACAAAAGACTAGAAGACTACCTAATAAAAGAATAATATTTAAAAAAATTCAAAATAAATATACAAATTAATATAAGTAAGTAAATATGTGAATTATACATATTTTAAATTATATTCAGTCTAGTAGTAAATCAATAAACCATAATAAAATGAAAAGATGGAACTTGAAAATTATTTACAATAAATGTTCTGCTATATTGATTATTTCAAATAATTGATGTGTGTGCTTTTTTGTGATTCTTAAGTCAATTTTGCATAATTTAATCATATATGAAGAGAAATGTTAAATAAATTCCAAGCATTCATTATATGTCCTTGTAAATACCCCATACACATAATGAATTGTAACTGTACTTAAACATATACATACATACCTTATAAACGTGCAATTATTGTAAATTTATTAATTATTTATTAACAAATTATTAAACGAATAAAGAAATAAATTGAAAAATAAATGCATTAATTCTACAAAAAATTTGTATTTATCTATCTCTCTTATGAAGGGTGATCCATTTTGAGGTTCCCTACATTTTTAAAGAGAAAACGCAGAAGCTTTAAATTTAATGGGAATGTTTATTATCATTCGAAAGAACGTTCGCTTGAGCATTACGACTGGTAACTAGTGATGAACATTAATAGCCGGATTGTCCGTATAGTCCGCATTATCTGCTCACTTTAATTTCAGGCATTAAATAGTTGGTTATCAAGGCGTTATAATAGTCGCCATTGGCCCATAAATCACACCAAACCGTTGTTTTTCTGGATGAAAGCTCTTGAATCTCTTCAAGCTTACATAATTTGGCTCGAAAACTTTAGATCTGGAACTTTTCAATATCCCATTGAAGGAAGCGATGTCGCTCGGGAAGACCGATCACAAGCAGTATTTTGTACTATTTAATTTAAAGATCTCAGAACACCCCGTTTTTTTTGCCCTGAATATCATAAGTTTACACATCTTAGATATGTACATATAAAAATTAATCACAAAATGTGTTGGTAAGCGCATAACTCAACAACGCCTGGACCAATTTGGCCAATTCTTTTTTCTAAATGTTCGCTGAGGCTCAAAGATGGGTTTTTAATGCGAAAAAAAATAACCGATAATTGCCGGAAAACCCCTAAAAACAGCCCTTTTCTTTTTCCCATACAAACGAACGAATGTTTGCTCGTTAGTAACGCTAAAAAACGGCTGCACCAATCTTGATAAAATTTTCAGAGGTTGTTCGCTGTGGATCGGGGAAGGTTTAGAAATAACAAAAATTGAATGCTTTTCGCGTGGAAAAGTCGGAAAATTGGAGGATTCCAAAAAGTAACTTTTTTCATACAAAATTTTTCTTTAAATTTTTTTGTTTTGGTTTTTAATTATTTAAATCGTTCAAATGTGTCATTTGCGTTCTTTATTCTGGCTTTTCAAAACAAAAAAAAAAAAAGTTTAAAATTATTCAGTGAATGTCTTTGTCTGTTTCACACAGTGATCAATTCTTCTTCTTGATTGGCGTAGACACCGCTTACGCGATTATAGCCGAGTTAACAACAGCGCGCCAGTCGTTTCTTCTTTTCGCTACGTGGCGCCAATTAGATATTCCAAGTGAAGCCAGGTCCTTCTCCACTTGGTCCTTCCAACGGAGTGGAGGTCTTCCTCTTCCTCTGCTTCCCCCGGCGGGTACTGTGTCGAATACTTTCAGAGCTCATCCGGACAACATGACTTAGCCAGCGTAGCCGCTGTCTTTTAATTCGCTGAACTATGTCAATGTCGTCGTATATCTCGTACAGCTCATCGTTCCATCGAATGCGATATTCGCCKTGGCCAACGCGCAAAGGACCATAAATCTTTCGCAGAACTTTTCTCGAAATCTCGCAACGTCGACTCATCAGTTGTTGTCATCGTCCAAGCCTCTGCACCATATAGCAGGACGGGWATTATGAGTGACTTATAGAGTTTGGTTTTTGTTTGTCGAGAGAGGACTTTGCTTCTCAATTGCCTACTCAGTCCGAAGTAGCACCTGTTGGCAAGAGTTATCCCGCGTTGGATTTGGCAGTTACAGATTGAAATTTGTTACGATCCTCTTCGTGGTCGCGCTAATATCGATCGGCGTTCTTTTTGCCATCAACGGTCAATCAGCAAGCGATCGTCACGATATCACAGCACGACATTTCAAACAACGCTTACGATGTTTTATGGACTTTATCTTGAGGCAACCTATGGTATATTTGGTGCTGTTAGATGCTGGATGTACTCTGTTGAGTTGCAAAAAAGAGGTTTGCCACAAGCACCCTTCTTCTTTGGATGGTTGATTGTGGTTACACCAGATCGAATTGATGAAATCATTTCTGGGAAAAGAAAGATCCAGTATTGTACGAGGTGATGAAAACTAATATGGTTCATAGACTTTGCGGACATCACAATCCCACTTCGGTTTGTATGTCTGACAATAAATGCACGAAACACAATTAAGGTGCTTTTTTTCGGAAACACAAATTAGAAATGATGGATATGCACTCTATCGGCGTCGCTCACCAGACGCCAATAGCAGAACATTCAGCATTCAAAGTTGAAAACACATGTATCGTACTATATTCACCACTATTGTCTAATTCACATTCAAAACTCATACCAATGTTGAGTATTGGTGAAATTGTTGTATATTGGTGAAATCGATGAAATACGTTTGTAAACACGTTACCAAAGGAAGCAACGAAGGAAGCAAGTGGTTATTTACCTTGAACGATATATTATCAAATGGGTCGATAAATGAACAGCAATGAAGCGCTTTGTAGGGTATTTACATTTGCAATTCATGAACCTTTTCCGACTATTGTACGTCTCGCAGTTAATATGGAGAATGGCTAAAGATTGTATTTCAATACAGAGAATATAGTACAGCCAGTGGAAACACCGCCAGCAACCAAATTAACATTGACGAGTTTTTTCCCAACTTTCGTCATTTGCGAGAACATTGCTCTAAGTAAGGCCAACCAGTAGATGGACATCCAGTGTTACCGACTAATGCGTTAGGACAAATTTACACAATCCACCCGAAAATCGACGATTGCTTCTACCTTCACTTGCCATTGATTAATGTACGCGGTTCAATTTTATTTGAATCATTGCGTACTGTGAATGGTACGGTGAGGGCAAGTTTTGGAAAAGCAAGCCAGCAATTACAATTGCTGGAACATCATAATCACTGGAATCAAACAATGGACGATTCGATAGCTACTTCGAATGCACATGAAGTTCGTGAACTTTTCGCGATGATTATTGCGACATATCAGCCTTCAAATCCGCAAACAAAAATGGCATTACTGAAGACATTTTACATCGTATTCGCTATGAATTGGAAATGGGTCAATTCCGGTTGATACTTAGGGTGGTTTGATATCAATTTCATCTGCCGTTTATCAATTCAGGAAAGATAAACTCATCTCGAATGTTCGGACATCTTCCAAATTATTGTAACAACGATAGCTGCCAAAAATACCGATGTTACAGACCTAAACTGGAAGATTCGAAGACAAATTCCAGGCGGTTTGCGCTCATACAAATCGATCAATCGTTTTGGCAATGACGACGACGCCGTGAATTATCCAATGGGATTTCTAAATTCTTTTGAGAGGCTTGGTATGGCACCACATTATTTGCGTCTCAAAGTTAGATCTGTCATTGGAACACTACTAATTATGACGCACCTATCAAATACAAGGGCATAGAATGCTTGATTCTACGAATTCCTTTCCGTTCTAACGATTTGCCATTCCAGTGCAAACGTATTCCGTTTCTAGTGATTGCATTTGAGATGACAATCAACAGGAGACAAGGATAGTCGCATAGTGTGTGGCAGAAATTTGGAAATGCTATGTTTTTCACACGGCCAGAGTTGGAAGACCATCTTTTCTGTACACCGGAACAGAAACCAAAAATGTTATTTATCGAGCTGCGTTACATTGAAAAAAAATTAAATGATAAATTCAACTTTCTTTTCATTTCAAAACATATAATTTCACGCAGGACACGGCTAGTTGTTTATAAAAATATTAAATGTTCTCTTGTTTTTATGATAACTCTTCTTTACTGGCGTAGACATTGCCAGCGGTTGTAGCCTAGTTAACAACATCGCGGCATTCCTTTCTTCTTTTCACAATTTTTATGATAATTACATAGCTAATAATTTGATAATTATCGGCTTGTTAGTAATAAAAATTAAGTTTTCCAGTCATGATTACCGCATACAACCCGTTTTCCCACAAACAAACATCACGTGGTCATCATCATCGCACGTGGAGTTTTCTAGGATTACAATTGCATATACCAAATGTTCTGTTTTAGAAACAGCGATGTCGCTAAATACACAGATATGAGTACAGTTTACCAATGGATGTAAATAAGAGGGTGAAAGGGAACAGGAAGGATATTTTCTCAAAATGAACTCAGTGGTTTAATATGTTATCAATTTAAAAATGACAAAACAATTTGTCAAAACGTTGGACAGATGATGATTAGATGATAATTAAGTCGAAGAATAATTTTCGATAATTGTTATGACCATCTACCTTGCCTTATTTAGTCTCCATTTTTTAATTTAGATACTTTTTAAACCACCAAAGACATTTCAGAATCGCATTGCATTTACTCCATCGATCTTTCTCGTAGAAGGAGCTTAGCCGTTGCTAAACTTGTGGCAACATTTTAAACAATCAGGATGCTGAAGCGAAGACTCGGCGTCAATAACACGAAAACTCCGTCGAGTAGCAATTCGAATATTCTTGCTATTTATAATTATTTAATACGCAATGAATACAAATAAAAGAACTCTAAGACAGTCGGGTAGGAAGGACCTCGGTTGTGAAATGCGAACAGACTTTGATTTTCCGAACAAAATAAGAGAAGGGCACAGACATTTAAATAGGGATACTGAAAGATTAACCTTAAATTCGAATGATTTTTTAGGTTATGCTTGGACAGTTTTTGTTGGTTGTTGGCAAGGTCTCTGTAGGCTATATTAGAGATATGTACTTTGTTCCAATGTGTCCTGCTCTTTCTCACATAACCATTCAAGCACATAAGGAAATCTTAACCTAGGGCTTAGGCGAGCTGCATTTACGGATATGTCATTCCAATGACTTTACTTTTTCTTCTTGCAA